ATGTCTGGCAGTTGGAGTGGTCAGCAGTTTTGCCCAGTCATGCCTCAGTCTGGCCCACTCATGCCTGGCAGTTGGAGTGGTCAGCAGTCTGGCCCACTCATGCCTCAGTCTGGCCCATTCATGTCTGGCAGTTGGAGTGGTCAGCAGTCCTTGTCAGTGAGGCCTAGCAGTTCTCCACGTCTCCCGGCTATACGTATTGTTCGTCGGCGGGACTCCATTGAGTCGACAGTCAGGAGTTCGAGGCATGATGATGATGATGACGACGACGAGCAGGGCTATGATGAGGACGAGCAGGCCTATGATGATGACGAGCAGACATATGATGATGACGAGCAGGCTTATGATGATTACTTTGATGTAGCTGAGCAGCCACAGACTCAGCCACAGGCACGTCCAGCTAAACGACTCGGCCGAGTTGATCCTCCACGACAGGCTGGGGGCCGTTATACGAGCGCTGCCTCATCTTCAGGTAAATAAATTACGTACTTATTGTTGTTTACCATTAGATGTTATTTTATTTAATAACATCGCATCATTGATACAATCAATTACAATATGTCGTATATATATTGATTGTTCTATTATAATACAGGGGCGAGTAGCAAACGCACTAAGTGTGACGACTGGCTTGTTAAAGCCCCAGTACCCGGTGGCCCCTTTGACGGGACTGTTATCCCTAGTTTTCTAGGGCACGTAGCCTCCCGGATTTGGACAGGACGTGTTAGAGGCACGTTGAAGTGCCAAAACAGGATGTCAGCGAACGGTGTTTTGAGGGAGTGGCTCGGACAGATGGCTGAGGCTCCGCTAGATCTGATCCGTCCGACCGGGCTGTCACATTTGGCGTCCAGCATGCATGACCACATCGACAGTCCTCTTATTTCAGCATTTGTGGAGCGCTGGCAGCCGGATACCAACTCGTTTCACCTGCCTTTTGGTGAAATGAGTATCATGTTGCACGACGTGAGGGCGATATTGGGGGTTTCTGTCGAGGGTGCGGTAGTCACAGGGGACCCCGACACCTTGACACAGCAAGCGCACTGCATGGAGCTCCTGGGGGTGGACCAGGCAACGCTGACAGCGAAGTTTTGGGGTCACGGCTCGGTGACGAATGAAGCCGTTTTTACTGCGTTGGAGAAGAATGGCGCAGGTCGGTCGGCTGAGCATGTGGCGATTGGCTGGCTGTGGGTGCTGCTCGCTACCACCTTGTTTACAGACAAGAGTGGTAACAGGGTCAGTCCCAAGATCCTGCACGAGATGATGGAGGACCTACAGAGTGTTGGGACTTACTCGTGGGGCTCGGCCGCACTGGCATACCTATTCAGACATTTAGGTATGGCCAGCAGGGGGGAGTCGGGGGGAGTGGCAGGCTGCTTGACTCTCATGCAGTCCTGGATATACGAGTACTTCCCCACCTTCCGACCCGCCGGTTCGCGTATGGCCTCCGAGCCTGACAGCTTGGCCCGATCAGCCTTGTGGAGGACCCCCATCCCAGATAACTCAGATAAGCGCCTCAAGCATTTCCGTAGGCAGCTCGACAGACTCACAGCCGCCGAGGTACGTTAAGTTATTTTATTACATTCACTTGAAAGTTATTTAGAATACTCGAATTGTTTGAATAAATGTTTTATGCAATTGTGAACAGGTAAACTGGCTGCCATACGGCCCCAACCCACATTTGCAGGAGCCCAGGACCCTTTTTTACGGATGCCTTAGGTACCGGGATATTGTGGAGCCGTACATGCCTATGCGTTTCTTGCGTCAGTTGGGTTACGTCCAGACGATCCCTCCCCGCATGGATCGTCCGATCACGGTATTTCGTGGTTGGAATGCTAGGATGTACAGGGTTGAGCATGCATCGGATGCTGCAGTAGATCACTGGGATCAGTTCCCGGTCTTGCATTCTGCACGCTTGTCTGATTGTACTCCCACCACCGCAGATGATCTAGGGGCGGCCCATGAGGACTACCGGCGATGGTATGAGCGATATTCTCATCCTAGACTCTTGCCCGACAGTCAGGCGGACAACGAGGCTGTCCCTGCGCGCGCCAACACAGATTACGTAAGTCGTTTACTAAATTTAGTTAGTATTCGTTCATTACAATTATTTTTTATATTTTAATTATGTGTATATATTTTCCTTGTGTGCTTTGTGTAGTGGGTCGGACGGTCCATGTCCCTTTCATCAGATACGCATCAAGAGATCGCGTCACTTGCTCCTGATAGGGCGGCAATTTATGCAGAAAAACTGGCTCAGTTGAGGTTGGATTTCGGCAGAGCGCAGTAGTGATGTAATAATTACTTTTTTTTATATATATTTTGTTTTGGATGTTGTCAGAAACCACCCGAATTGTTTTTTTTTTATTTGTGGTTAGTTAATTTTATTTTCATCTAAACAAAAAATTCTCTCATTATATCACGTGAAACGGTAGACACGGCGATCTCCATTATATCACAATCTATCACTCGTAACGCATGAAAATAAAATTTTTTAATATCACAATATATCAAATTCCAGCTGCAGTACGAATATCATTCCACAACTGGAACCTGCTCTGGTACTGATACGGCCAATCTCGAACCGAAACATCTCGGTATTTGTCCCAAAAAAAACACAAAGGCGGTAATGGAGAATCAGAACACAGATTGATACGAATGAAGTGCGAGTAGGAACCAAGATGACCTATGACGATCTCACAGTCAGGTCGTGTACCGTGGATGGTGCGCGGATCGGGAATACCGTCATACTAGCCATGTCCATATTGTTATCGTTGGGACCATAGCTTAGCAACACGACAACTGCATTGAACAGTGTAGCAATAGCAAAGAGGTCGCCCGTAGCATTCATCCAATGCTCCTCGCCACAAAGACCCCCGTCCCATCTTATACGATCGATTG